TCCCTGTCCTGAAGCCCTCCTGTATTCCCAGTTTGGTTTTGGACCTGGACCCCCATCAGCGGACCCAGTACGACATCTTCCCCCCGTGTTCGCCTGCCGAACCCCTGTCCTACAGGAAGGCCGCCGGGAGGCATCATTGAGGAGGGGGCCCGGTTGTGGGGCAGCCCGGCGGACGGTGAGTGTCCTGGTTTTTCTCCTTTTATCAGTTTCTGCTTTTCCCTGGTTTCCTGTTCTCTGCCCGCTCTCTGTGTGTTCTCCCGTGTGCTCTCTCTCTGCCTGAGCCCAGCCAACTACTGCACCTGCAACCCATCATCCACCTCGTCAGCCTGCCACACCTGCCAGTAATCAACATCATCCCAGCTGTATTTCAACCCGGTTCTCCACACCATCCTTGCTTGATCGTCGTTGCTCCATACCTGGTGCCACTCCTGTGTCAGGCTCCTTGTTTGTCTTGTTTTTTCAAACTACCCTGTGCCTTGTCATGTCTCCCCCTAACTTGTCTCTCTGTTTGTTTCCCTCCCAGGTACACTCACCCTCGTCCTCCGCTCGGCTGGGCTCATCCACTGGCCACTACCCTTCGGACCCCTCGGCGTCATCCGTTCCCTGCTCTCCTCGCTTCCCGGCCCGTGTTCCCCCGGCTCCCTGGCCCCCTGTCTCCTTGGTTCCCCGTGCCAGTACTTCCCCGACGTCCTCCTCCCTCCACTCCAGTCCTCTCACCCTTTTTCCCCAATAAACCTCCTTCCCTCTGAGTGCAGCATTGGGTCCTCTCTGTCCACACAAACCCCGTAACACAACAGGCATTACTGAAACAAGACATCCTTGCTTCGGAGCTGTCATTTTAAAGCAAAGTCATTTAAACATTGTTACAGCATACTGCTATGAAATCAGTCAGATGAGCATCAGCTGTCAACATTATGACATGTAGAAAGAAAAATCTTGAGGTTGCAAAAACACATTATAGCATCTGTTCAAAGAAGCAACAGCCACAGGTTACAAAATCATGCGCTACACAGAAAGTCAGTATAGTTAACTCCCAGGCTTTCTTTTGGCTGTGTGCCTTTTGTCTGTAACAGGAGATCATTTCTGAGGTGAGAGTTCATACACAGTAAGAAATAACAAAAGTAAAATTGATCTTAAATGTAGCCTACAGCCCCAATTGCACCTGTCACATGATTATTCTCATGGAAGACATTGCAGACTAAATACTATTATTACTGTATGACAACATGAAATGAGGATGCGTTTGATATTACAGCTTCTGACTCAGCAGCTGTTTTGCACTCGTCAATTCATGAGTTAAATGGGTGTGATGTGCAGATCGACTCTGACGTCATCTGAATCATCCACGGGCCAACAACCTATTAATCAGAATAACCTTTTTAAAACCCTACATTCAGCAACATAAACAGTAAGGTCAATGTTCTATAAGTTCAGGTAGAGCCCTCTGCTGGACTTTTTGGGTAAAACCTCCTCTACTACACAACACACTCTCACCCAGTGAAAACACAGCCACCCAATAGGACACCTCTACCGATATGTGCGGACGTATAAATAGTAATGTCCCAGTACCACAGCACCAAGCACCACATCACCTTAGGACAGGCCGCCCCTGAGACGGTTCCTGGACTGATATGGGTTTGGCCTGGCCATTACCACCTGAGCTGAACATCAGGCACAGTCGGTGTACTATGCTTGTTTACTTCTGGTAGTCACCAAAGTCCCTCCTCACAGATCAATCAATCAAAGTTTCATTTAAAGTGCAAAATCACCAAAAACATTGGAAAAAAGCTGATATTGCAACAATTATCTTTTCTGCGATATATATTGCAATATAAAAAATACAGGAATTTCAAGCATCCTAGAATTTTTGTGTGTTGGTTTGGGAAAATGTATAGAAAATTTAAATAAATAAGCTGAAAATTGTCTTTTGAATATGAGTACTTTTTTGAGTGCAGACTAGCTTTCTTGAGCTTTAATGCTTTCTTTTGCAATCAAATCCACTGTGTGGTCATCCATCTGTCACACTCTGCCGGTTTTGTCCATCCTTTGTGTTGCACTTTTGGGTTTGGTATCTGCCTTAGTATGTTGAGTTTTGGGTTCTGTCCTGTCTGGTGTCCAGTATCTGCTATGTAGTCTGTTGTGTTTTGAGTTCCTCTGAGTTATTGTGTGGTCAGTTCATTATCTGTTATTTAGTTGGTCTTTGATTCCATGTCATGTTCTTGGTCTTGTACGTTAGTCATGTCTTTAGTGTTTACTCCGGGTCTTGTGTTCTCTGTAAGCTCTGTACTGTGTTCTAGTTCTGTGTTCTCGCTTATTCACTCTGCCCCAGGTCTGCTTGTCATGTCAAGTCTCTCTGTTTTCCCCTGCTCTCTCTCTCTGCCTCGTTAGTCATGTCTGTCACCTGTGTTGCTTAGTCCCTGTGTATATATACCTGGTGTTTCTGTCTTGTCTTTGTCTGGTCATTGTTCATGTTACCCTCAGTCTGTGTGCGTGACTCTTACCTGCCTGTAACCAGCCTTGCTTGTTGTCTCCCTGTACTTTTGGATTTCTGTTATTCAGCCACTCACCTGTAATGTGCTCCCTTTTGGTTATATTAAAACCCTTCATTGAACTATACCTGCTCCGCTCTGTGTCCTGCGTTTGGGTCCTCAAACCTGCCTCCACACCACAATCGTGACATCAGTGGTTTTTTCCTGTTCCTTCATTATTTTGAAGTTGTTGTCGACAACTAATGGTGGCGGGGCCTATTTTGGCTGTTTGATAAACTGATTACGAACAATTGTGACTGGCGGTTTGCTGTGCATGCAAAGCCTGCTTGTCACCCTAGGAGAGAACTCTGAAACTCAAAACCCAAATTGGCAAACTGGTTCCATAATAGAGGCACTTGATAAATAAACACTGTGGCTCCCTCTTGACCTTGGGCACCACAAGCTGCCATGAATTTTGAGAGCGCAGTGCTTCTTTGGGCAGTAAAGTATGAGGAACTTTTTGAGGTAAGCTGGTGCCTGACCATGTAAGGCTTTGTAGGTAAGCAGAACATTTTTTAATTTTCTGGGTTGCACCTGCGAGCACGGATTCTAAGAAGCGCCAGACACATCCAAGAGATAGAAAAGCACAAATGGGCGTCATGAAGACCACAATGCGTTGCAGATCTCTTCAACACTCTGCTGACGCTGCCACACTTGGATGAAGTGTGCACGGATCACAGTGGATGGGTCTGTTCCTGGCAGCACATAGTCTTGGAAGATACACTCGCAAAGCCATCCAGCCACACATCAGGGTGCTTTGAACCACTGTGTCCACTTATATCTGAGAGGACACTTTAGCTTGCTGGTGGTGGTGGGAGAACTAAAGAGAGTGACCTTGTCTCAGAATGCCATCCATCTAGCTTGACAGCATGCAGCGGCGTTGCTATTCTGCATGGAAATGTTGCAGCGTTGTGAATAAAATGCAGAATTAGCTCGCACCCTTTCTGGGACGTCTTTCTCTTCCTGGCTGTTAGTGCTTCATTTCAGATGTTTTTGATTTGGATCTTTAACCTCTAATGATGACCAGGGGTGCCTCCAATAAAGTTGGCAACCTTAAGATTATGGCTGCAAACCCCTCACACTACCGGATTATTTGGGCCTTAATCGGTTCAACCAACCTCTTCAAAAAAAACAACTAAAAAAATAGTCGGGAGGGATGAATTGAACCCAAATTCAGATATCCTCTCTTGTGCGGCCAGCATTAGACGCAGGAGAATGGGCACGCTGTCATGATTTGTTCTTGTCTGCTCTGTGTTTCTGTATCTCTATCCTTGTTTTAGTCTGCAGTGGTCAGTACCTATCAAAAGTGGTCCAAGGAAAGAAAAGCTGTGAACCGGTGACAAGGTCATGGATGGCCAAGGCTCATTGACGCATGTCGTCCGATCCAACAGAAAAGCAGTCAGATTGCTGAAGAAGGTAATAGCGGTCAGAACACACAGTACACCCGGTTTGTTGTGTATGGGCCTGCGTAGCTGCAGACCAGTCAGTTTGCCTGCACTGACCCCTGTCCACTGTTGAAAGTACCTACAATGAGCATGTGAGCATCAGATTTGGACCACAGAGCAAAGGAAAAAGGTGGCCTAGCCTTATGAATCACTTTTTCTATATCAAATTGATGGCTGGATATCATAATGTTGCATTAACCTGCATCATTCTGTCTCATTTAATGTTGTGTAATTTCTGTGTTGTGCTGTTTCTCTTTTCCAGGTTCTGGGTAAACATGGTGATGATGAAGATGATGCAGTGACCTACAGCACCGTGAAAGTTCCTCTTCCTGGGGAACACGTGGCACCAGGATACACTATGGAAAGAGGACAAGCCAGCGGAGGCAGTGTGATGCTTTGACATTTAACCCCAAGTTGCAACTTCTGACATATGTCAAAATAGTAAGTCGCTTTGGATATAATCGTCAGCTAAATGTAATGTGAACATTCTGTTAAAGAATGTTTTATGCAAAAATGAGATGATCTCTATCCTGAAATAAATTCAATTCATTCCCTGATGGCAGTGGCCTCTTTCAGAAGGATAATGTGTCCTGCCACAGAACAAAAACACATGTCATATCCATCCTGACCTGTAAACTGAAGCACCATTACAAATAAAGACATTTTAATCCATCTGAACTCAACCATCGAGACTCTGTCGTTTCTCTCTGCCCTTTCTACTTTACAATCTCTAAAGGGTTGCTTCTTAAAGACAAATGTTTATCTGCTTCCTCTAAACAATCATTTTTCACTTGCTCATTGTGACACTGTGTCCTTTCCTTTTCCTCTCATATTTCAGTTGTTGCTTTATTTGAGTATCTGGAATTAACACCAGTGAAAATTTAACCCTTGTGTTGTTTCCACAGTTTCCTCTCATTCAGTTTAATTCAACTCTCAAAAGTGACTCAGTCAAGATGAGCGCTTTCCACTTCCTCTGAGTTTGTTTTAATTACTTTCATACCAGAACAAAAAAAACACAGCACTAGCACATTAAAGTGCCTGACAGCAAGTTCATCAAGCTAAATGTCCCATATTATGTTCAGTTACATTTCAAGCAGCCAGATAATGTTGTTATTGTGCTACTAGTTAACCTACTGCACCCCTTCTGGACTAAAAGGCTTTTTACAGCAATACATCCTGAACTTATATAAAAGAAGTTGAATAAAAACATTTATCAGTTATCAATGATATGTAATGAAGAATAATATGAACTGTAACTACACTGTGTCTCTTATGTGTTTGGTTTGTTGACGGTGGCGTAGAGGTCGCTGGGATCAGCTGAGGCTCCAGCAGAAGAAGAGGAAGCTTTCACGCTGCTGTAGGTCACTGCATCATCTTCATCATCACCATCTTTACCCAGAACCTGGAAAAGAGACAACAGCACAACACAGAAATTACACAACAAATGAGACAGAATATGCAGGTAAATGCAACTTATGATATCCAGCAGCACATAAACACAAAGCTCAATAATGAAACAGCAAACAACATTACAAAGAGCAACACAACACAAAACAGAGTCAGTCCAGTCAGTTCAGTTTGAAGATGTGCTGTTAAAGATCTGTTTGTACATGTACTGAGCTCCTCTGGCCGCTCGTGGTGAGATATTTTGTTCTGGACCAAAGTGTTGGACACACTGACATCACAATCCTTACATGTAGACTGGGCTTTAAAGGGAAAATAAAGAATCTGTCCTGTTTTATACCTGAGAAGTGTTTTCATTCACTGCCATCATCACTAGAACCAATCAGACAGCTTACCCGGCCTTTACTGTTGGTCTTCCTGGTGTAGCTGATGGAGGCGTAGGAAACACCATCTTCAGGATCAGCCTACACAGAGAAGACAACATAATGGCTGCTCAGTAACATGTGGACTTGATTGTGTTCTGGTCTGTTCTGGTGTCGTCCAGCTGCATCATCAGACTCCCCACTTCTTCTCTTGCAGAAAGAACTTAGATTCAAGAGTCACTGTGTGTCTCATAGAGCTACATTTTGAACAACAAATCTAAAAACAGTGAGTGTAACTTTGTCCTGGGTGTAGTGTGAGATCTCACCGTGTCCTGACTGCTTTCTGGACTCACTGCAGGGTTTAAGCTCCGTCCCTGAAAACAACAAACAAACAGAGTCTACTTCCATGTGGTCAAACACTGGCTCTGTGAAGGCTGTTTAGATTTGGATGACTCTGTCAGAGAGCAGCTGATTCAGCTCTGTCATAACTGTAGAAACATTTGATTACTCAGCCGTAAAACTCACAGTGTTTTCATCCATCTGGGTTTTTTTCCTGAAGAGACAAAAGAGAGTCGACTTTAGCTTCAACAATAAAAATCCAGGTTCATCAAAACTTCTTGTTTATAATATCTGTGGTTGCTCTCACCTTTAGTTTTCTTCCATCTGATGAATCCAACAACAATAACAACAGTTAATAAGAGTGCTGCAACTCCCACAAACACAATGATGAGCCAAAAAGCTGGAAAGAAAAAAAAATTGACAGAACAGATTTAGTTTAGATGGTAACATAGGTCCATGCGCATAGGATGTTTTTTTTTATTAATTCTTGAAGTGTCTATTTTAAGATTCTGCCATTTAACAGGCTGAAATAATGTCCCATGGGGTTTATTTTAACCCTTTATTATACTTATTGTCAACCTGAACCCAAAATAAACAGAAAACAGCGTAACTTTTGAAGCAAACAACATACAGAGACCAATGAGTAAATTTTTTCCACACAAATCTGACCCAAGGAATTCAGTTAAATGGTTACTGTTAGGATTCAAACACATCTTGACTCTATTTCAGGACAATAACAGTGCGAAAATAGCAAAAAAAAGACCACAGCTAAATATTTCTTTTAATTAACCTCAGAGGGGACAACTTTTGTAAAAACTTTCCCCGTGGTAATTTTACTGCCTTCAGTGACATTAAGGGGGAGCAAAGGGAGAGGGGTTCATATCCACACAGTATTTGATAAGAGACTCTGAAGCAGCAACTTCACCCACAAATACCCTTCATACTGTAGACATTGGAGGTCTTGGTATGGATAAAACTGGGTTCATGAAAATTGTTATAAAAGATTAATAGGTAACTTGGATTAGAGATTTAATTCCTTCACCTCAAAATTTACAATTTAAATTGTGTTACTGTGCAAAATGCTGACTGACAACAATAATAAAGTGACAGCGATTATTAGTGTTGGAATATTAATATAATTTCAGTGCAAATGTTCTCTGCATTTGTCTGCAAAGTTACTTCCATTTTTGATAAATGTTTATCCTGCTGAAGGTCATGGGGGACAAGACAAATCTAATTGCATTAAATTTACCTGCTTGGACTTTAACAACAAGCTCTTGGTGTGAGATGACAGTGCTACCGAAGCTTTAGACAAACGCCAACAGAAATCACAAAATGACTCCTGGAAAGCATCAAACTGTGTGTGTTCAAGGATTTCCCAGTCATGTTTTTTCATACCAATCCTGATCTGAGTCTAAGTGCCCATGCAGACCTTTATCTCATGCATTTTCAAATTAATTATCTGCATAGTTTTCCTTATAGGCACAGTGCACCATAGTGTAAAATGCAGGGGGAGCAAAGTAAGCTTTCACTTCACACTACCATATGAAGGATATTTGTGACAAGATACCATTGATATTGGAGAGCTTGCGTATGGACACAACTGGCTTCATCAAAACTGTTCAGATTCATAGGTAACTTGGATCATTTACAAGCCTCAAACGCTTCTACGTGGTAAATCATCATCATCATCAATAAAGGACTCCCTATGCCTGCACAAATCTCAGACAGTTTGATCTGAATGTACTATACCTTCCTGTTTCCTAATCAGTGTATTTTCTGTGACAAGATAGAAACAAAGGTCAAGGGCAAAACTGAACATCTTACGAAGTTTCAGAGTTGGAATCACGAGTGGGGGCTAGTAAGAGATGTGATTGGGCCAGCCCAATGTCAGTACAGAAAATTACCCAATGGGCGACTGTCCATGCTTTATGGGATGATCTTTGGCACGTTTTTTAAAAACAGTTAATATAAATAAATAATTTACGTTACACCAGCCCCAAACGCATTTGCCTGGTATGCCAGATTACCAGTCCAGCCCTGATGGCGGACATGTTCCACACATGCGCAGTAGATTGGTTGTTGCCCTGGTAGCGGTAGTCGCCGTGTGGATCTGGTGCAGATATGACAAAAAACAGGAGGCACACGGACCTGCGCAGACTCTATGCATACCCCCTCTGATGACGACTTTTTCGTCACGTTGACTCTAGCGGACCCTCGCGTACTTGCACACACGGAAACTATAATCCTTGCATCAGGCTCCGCAGCCAAGTTAGCAACGCTTAGCAACAACAAATATGCAACGTCTTGTAAAGTTAGCAACAACAAATATGTAACGTCCTGTTGTGTACCAACAGTGTGGATTTGTGCATTTATATCAAATAATTTGGAGACTCAAAAATCCCTTCCCTCTCTCTCTCTGAGAAAAAGGAGGGGGTAGGAAAGTTTTCTGGCCTTTTGACATGCAAAAACTAGAAACATCGCCTGGTGTTTGGTAAGAGTCTGCAGAGACTCAATCAGACATGCATCGCTTATGGATGCCGTAATGGTGTCAATAGACACTTAGCAGGACAGCAAAAGAAGTGTCCAATGCCTCTCCTTCTAGGGTGCCTCACGACATCAAAGTACCGGATGTTTTAATTTTCAGCAAGGTTAATGACATTCCTTCATTTTATGTGTAACCAATGCTTTTTCCCAACACTTTCAGACACCTCCTTTAGAAATGCTGATAAAGAAATGTCATCCTATACTCGATTAATTTTCCAGCTTGAATTTAAGGTTAAAATGACTAAATTCCCCAGCTCCTGAGAAGATTGTTTTAGGATTAATCAGAGATATCGTCATGTAACCCAAGCTCCCCCAAGTGGAACAGAAGAAGTATTACAGGCTGTCGTCTGAAATGTATAAATGTCACTTTATTTACCTGTCCATAACCTAATGCCATTCGTGTATCTTGCTTATATTCTCTAAGAATATGTAACAGCCAATAGCCTATATCCAGAAAGCTAAACTAAACGGACTCTGCCAGTGTGAGGCTGTTTTACCAGCAACCGGCGGGGAGAAACACAAGCAGTAAGACCAAAACCCTGCACTCTGTGATCAGGGATGTCCCATAGTCTGTCAGTCCAGTATATTTAATCCTTGAAACTCCTGGACAAATTTAACCGAGTTATCATCTAATTGCGTTCA